TAAGCACTATTTTTAGTAACATTTGTTTAAATATGATAATTGAGTTCTTTTAGTTACAATTTTAATTTTCTACAAATGTAATTGCAGGCTTTTCCTTTTTTGACAAGAATTTGACTACGGTAAAATAACTAGTTATCTAAAGATAAAGAAAAATATGTCTTTTTAAACTCATAATCCTAGGCTTTGGTTTGTATTATGTAGTTTTTTGTTACATACCTATATGATTTTTTTTATTTAATTCAGAAATAAATTATATCAAATTTATTACTGAATCTATAATCAAAAAAAAATTACAAAAGATGAGATCAATTCAATATACCTTTTGAACTTTAACATTATAGGAACGTAAACTTTTGACCATATAAATTAAATAATGTAGTCATATTAATCCAGAATGACCTAGATCAGGGGTCGGCAAGTAATTTTAGGTGGGGTCCGGATACATTTGAAAATTTTTAACGAGGTCCAGAAAAAAAATTCATATTTCTTATTTTTTTATTTTAATTTGTCTCACAATTGTAAAATACTAGGAAACATTTTTTAAATAATTTATTTGAGTAATCTATACTTTCAAAAAATTTTTGGCGGTCCAGTATTTTACCTTCCGCGGTCCGGACCTGGACCGCGGTCCGCCAGTTGCCGACCCTTGACCTAGATCTATCCATTGGAAAATGGTTTTTGTAATATTAACTTTACTCTCCTATTACATATAAATTTAAATATATTTAAAAAACATTACAGTAAAATATCCTGTATTTAGCTCTTTAAGTACATATATATTTTAAGCACTACCAATCGAAGATTATGAGTGACTAGATTAAAGCATTTCAGAGTGTAAGATCAAGAGAGTTCAGATTTCAAAACTTCACCTGTTTCAAAACAGTAGACCTCAATAATCCACAATAAAGATTCTGAATCAGTCCCGGTCAATATTCTGAACTAATGAGTAATCACAGATGACAGATTAAATAAATATGAGAAGAAAATAGATGATTTTAAAAATAACGTATTTAAAAAAGCTTTGTATGTTTGCCTTTATTTCAAATGTTTTTCCAAATTCTCCATCATCTGACCCAACGGTATTCAAACTGTGTTTCGCGGAACCCTGGGGTCCCCACAACTTCTTCGGGTTATTCCGCGAGTCAGTCAAAAACTCATAATTTTGAAATTAACATTTGATTTTAAACACGATTATTACTTCATTGCAAGGTCTGAACGTAAACATTATTAAAGTACATTAAAAGATAAATGTATTACATATAAAATTTGATCTGCGTGAGTCGTATGTGTTGAAGAAAAATGATATAGAATGTTTTGAAAAACTACACGATTTTCTAACTGAAAATGATATGAGTCTCAATTCTGATGTCAGAAATCAAATTTTAGAACACATTTTCCAACTGAAAGTAACAATCGGAGATTATTTCCCAAAGCAAATGGAATCATCATATGCCAGTGGCGGCTCGCAAGGTGACGCAAGTGATGCACCTCTTCACCTAAAAACTTGGTTGTACAATATAAAATTATTTTTAATTTTATATAAATTTTATAATTTAGGTATAATTCTATATTGAAAATATATTGTGTTTGTATGTTTTATACGCAGAAATAAACAGAATAGTTGCGCGGTGAACGCCTTCTAAAAAAACATTGCCTTCATTGAGCGCAAACATCAACCTCATACCATACAACGTATAGTATAAGCATAACAGTTCGTTAATATTTGTTTAGTATCAATATTTGTACAAGTGTTTCCTATGTATGATCCAGTATGTATTTTGGAAACATCTTTTTCCAGATGGAAAATTGAGGACAAAAAGGAATTTTTAAATTGCGAGGGACCTGTGCCTTCTCTCGATGTGGAAAAGTAGTGTTTAAAAAACTTTTCTGTATGCCGTGTTTAATTGTGAGTGTAAAGTTGGGCGTGTGAAATAAGGAGGCTGTCGTAACCATGAAGCTTCTATAAGGTATGCGTTAATGTTCGCAGAAGTCCACAAGCTGAACTAATATTTATTTATATATTATTTTTTATAAAATCTAAATGAAAATCCTTCTCGCAAATGTCAGTTTTTCAGTAATATTGCAAATGCAACTAAAAATCACCAGATTCATTTAAATCCGTTTGACCTTGAAAATTTTCGCCTGCGGCGTTGTTTTTTTTTTGGTGAAGACATGAATATGCTTCACCTATTCTCAATGTCACGAGCCGTCACTGTCATATGCTTGGATTAAAAATACATTTCAAAATTGCAATACATCCGTGGACAATATTATATGAATGAAATACAGAGAACAGTTAATTATATCAGCAGATTCATCATTACAGATAAAATATGAGCAATACCGCATTATTAACGCCTGGTTGCTTAATTGACCACAAACATATTTTGACTAATCATGTATGCCTGGAAAACAAAAAATAATACAACAAAGCAAGTAAATGTCACTTTAGCATTTGTGTCCCAGTTTTTTACACATTATACTTTTTCTGTGTCATTTACAGTAGGTTATTTATTGAAATAAGCTCAACAGTGGAAAATATGAGTAATAATCAATTGACGGATATGATTCAGGTATACTATCAGTGTAATACAAATCGTGGTGTAGGAGTCCGCCCTTACAGAGAACTATTTCTTTACAGAGAAGTTCCAGAATCATGTAGATTTGTAAGACTTGATGGCGTTTTTTAGGAGACAGCCTGTATAAGCAGTTAAAAATGTGTTCAAAAATTTTGTTAAGTGTGAGTTCCTCAAAAAATCGAAATGTTGGCCGGGTTCCGCAAGCCGTAAAAGTTTGAAGACCGCTGATCTAACCTTTTTATAATATTCATATATTTTAACTTTAAAATGATAATACATTTACGTTTGCGATCAATACCCTCGGGTTGAAGAAAGTATGCTTCAAAAAGGGACATTTTATTACTCAAACCAATATAATATGGCAATAAAAGTAAGAAATATAATAAATACTAATGATAAATGCGTAATTTGTTAGAACTGAGGACGTCAATGGCAACGCCCCCTGCATGCTGACAATCAACAAACATCAAAATTTGTAGCATCAGCCCTCTAACATATATAATGATTAAAATTAACTACTTCATTATATATTTAACAACAGTCTACTTTGCTCAGATTGTTTCCATGCGTATCTACACAATATTAAGAAATAAATATGCAGCTTTCTAAGTAGGCAATGAATCTACTGGAAGATGAAATTCTGAAATTGGAATGTAACTTTCGATTTGAAATATATTTTAAGGGAAAAGTTTTCTCATCATTTTAATATTTCACACACTTTCTTACGTATAATCAGAAAATGGTCCACCATTTTGCAAATAAGCCAATTTATTTAACAAATATTGGGCATCTTGTAAAAACTAATCAATATCTATAATTTTATTACAAAAATATTAGTCCATTGCCTCTGTTAGCATTACTTTATTCTAGTCGGTCATTTTGTTTTTTTTTTTTTCGTTCTGGTGTCATAGTCCGATCGAGACTGCATACTATCGTACCAATTAGTCCACAAATGCAGTCTTTAAATATAGTCAAAAAAATGTCCCTATATTCCTTGTGAAGGAAATGATGGTACTGCAATCAATTGAAATGAAATACTCTGTACAGAATGACCCAAAATTGATGGTTGGTTGCCATTATAGAAAAATGAAGCCCTTCAAAAGTTATAAAATGATATGTATAAAGAATACTGGTTCGATCAGGTCTGCTACTGAATTTGCAAGCACTGCCGTGGAAAATATAATACTTTCAACTCTCTTCACTCATTATTAACATAAATTATTTGTTTCTATAGTAAATATTTCTGAGCTTCCCCAAGAGTTAAAATCATATCATAGCTTTTTCATTGAATATTCATTTTTTAATGTAGTTTTGCACAAAAATAAAGAAAACGTGTCAGTCAGGGCCGGCGGAAGGGGTGAAACAGCGAAGGAGATGTTTCAGGTGGTGTTTTAAGACTTGATTATTAACTTTTTATAAATTTCAGAAATTGAAAATTGCACAAAAATCTGAAAAAATATTTTTTGACCCCGAATGCGTGCTTTATGCTTTATTGTGTAACGTTACATATATTTTGATTTTCTGTATAATATCCCAGCTTTAAAAAGTAGAAGTTCTACTGAAATTTTGAAAAGTTGTCAAGATTTATATTCACAACTAATAGATGATATAGAAATTTGAGTTGCATAATGAAATTTTAAATTTTTTAAAGTTAATTAATTTAAACAATAATGAGGGTACAAATCCACTGGATGTGCTTAATTATTTAGAAATTAACGAGTTGAGCGAAAATTTCCCTAACATCGTAGTATCTTTAAGGATTTTGTTAATCATTCCTGTGTCTGTGGCCAGTGGAGAACGTTCTTTTTCAAAATTAAAAATGATAAAAAATTATTTACGATCAACAGGAACGGTTAACAGACTTAGCCATTCTTGCTATTGAGAAAGATGTAACGAATAATTTGGTTTACGATGATACTATTGAAGACTTTGTTAATGAAAAATGTAGAAAAGTTGATATGGAATGAGGGAAACCTGGAAAACCTCATTAATTAGGGGGGTGGTCAAATGTCAACCGGTGTCAATTTCTCACATTGACCCAAGTCAACATTCTTCTACCCTACCATACCTGCACACAGGGTGCCAATCCTCGGTACAAGCATAGCTAATCTACGATCTACCGGCCGCGGGTATCGAACCCGGGCAGAAATTTGCACACGATTTAAGTACTGACGCCTTAAACCGTGCGGCTATCGACCGATTATATGATATATGTGTAAAGATCCTGTTTTGACATTATTTAGTTTCTTTTTTGTTTTTATTTTATATTTTTTATTTTTGGTTTTATTGGAATATCTGTTTTATTTTTTACAGGATGTTTCTTATAATTTCTGTTTGTTTTCTTGCTAAAATATTTTTTATTTATTTTTGTCTATTGAAATGTTTTTTTTATTTTTTATCTTTTTATTAATAAATTTGTTATTTGTTCCAACCATAGTAACTTGTATATATATTTTCTTAAGGCGGCAAACAAACATTTGCTTCAGGTGCCAAATACCCTGGCGCCGGTCCTGGTGTCAGTAATGAATATTTAGAAAAATATGAAACTGGAATAAATCATTTTGATGGCACCACAGTCCTTAATACAGTGAATTAACCAAGATGGAATTTTAAGTCAAATATTTATAATATCATGCTATAAAAATCCTTGCTTATAATTTACTATTTTCTCTTTCTGTTTTCCTGTCAACCACCAGTTGTGGGTGACCCATACATATAGAAAGAAAATTTAAATTTGAAATACGTTTGAGACTGAAGTTGCAATTGTATTAACGTTATTGTGAATTAATATGACCCCACTACATACATTTTCTTTTTGTTTGGTAAATTCAACATTAGATCTGCTTCCCCACAAAGCTGCTCAAATACAAGAAAATATCACTCTTTTCTGAATAGACTAGAGGAAATATAAGGCATTTTTAGCACACAAATATATTTTGTTTATCTAAAGAGGAGACTTCTCTCTGTAGCCCTCACTGTGCATCGTCTTCCCTGCCAATTTTAATATTGCTTTACTTTCTGTGTTACTATCCAATACGGACATTCCGACTCTTTCACCTTTCTCCTGAGGGGTTGGTGGGGGAGAACCCAAACCCCAAACTTCCAAATGTCGAAATGAGAATTCCTTGGAGTGAGACATTTGTTGATAGCCTGAATATGTGGTGCAGGACTCACTAGTATGGCCTTTACCATATTCACTATCGATCCAAAGACCACAATATCCATGCTGACCACCCATGGCCTGACAAAATATCAAATCTTAAATAACCGTATTTGGAATGAATATTCATAAACTGAGCTCAGAGATATGGAGTAGGGGAGAATGAGCTTCGACGAGTGCGCATCCACATTTCTAGGGACGCTACGGGTGCGGCCATTTTGAAGGCTTTTACGTCATGAAGTTGTTGTTGACGTTAGGTTCGCAGGTGTGTTTTTTGAGGTTATTCATATTTTTGTTTGTCAATTTCGTTTTTATTGAACATACTTGTTGCTCTGAACACTTTAAAGCAGATAATTTTGTCACCTTTTGTGGAAGAAGAACAGCATGACCCAACTCTGTACCTTCCATAAAATTATTTTGTGGTGTATCTTCTTCCATTTTGAGCGAGAATATTTTTTCGAATTCAATTAATACAGGAGCTTTGATGACCAGCAAATCGATGTTACAATCAAGTGGATCATCTTTGACCTATAATGTTACTGAAATTGGAGTAGGTACAACGTAAAAAGAGAGAGGCAAATGGATTTAAGGTAATAAAGATTTGTAATTTAAAAATAGTAGTAATGCTAAGGATGTTAAATACGTACCCTGCCAAATTGTTTGATACGGACCTAATAAATTAAGAAATAATATTTACAATAATTTTATTTTCAGTGTTCAGAATACATCGAATGGTAACACTAGTACTGATAGTAGTGCTAAGAGAAGGAGTATTATGGCAATGAAAACATACTTTAATGGATAACTTTAATAATGAAAATATCTTTGCAGTATATCTCCTTCTACAGTTGCAACGAAAAATGTTAAACTGAAACGTAGACAGGAAACTTACCGTTCAGTCTTTACGAAAAGAAATTAAGGACGGATTATTCAAGGCCCTGCATTAAGACAAAAATAAATTAATTATTTTCAACCATCAGTAAATAAATATGTTAGTTATACAGTGTTTTATTTTAATATACAAAATATTTAGAAACTACATCGCAAATGTTTTTTTATTTCATATAAATTGAGTACCTACCGCAATCTGTTAAAGTTTATCGTCTCAAAAATATATTACGATTGGTGTGATTAATATTCTCTGTTGAACCTTCTGTGGAACAAGACAGTTATAACATAATTAAAGTATCATTCAATTAATTCAATATAAAAGATAAGCACAATGCCGGAGTGTGTGCAGATTTATACATATATGATAGGTAATAATATCATATGCAGTAATGATACAACTCTAGCCGTTGTTCTTGGGTAATATAGTATTTAATATATTTTTTATGAAGTGCATATATGAAAATTTATTTTTTTTTATATAATAAATATTCAGATATACCTAGAAAATTATGAAAAATAATTCATATGTAATTGAAAATTTCAAAAGTACGTATTTGTTAGTTCATATTTCATTTCAAATTTAATGTAAAGTTATGTGCGTTTCTAATTAGAAACTTTAGAATTGACCTGGTAACGTAATACAGTCCCCCCTCGTATCTAAACCTTCAAAATGGCGACCTCCTTTATTAGTAAGTTTGCATATCTTGACGCTCATTCTCCCTACTCCATATCTCTGACTCAGCTATATAAAGATTATGTGTGAATATAGACTGAAAAGTAAATGGTAAGTGCAGCAGGTAACATAATCGGGGGATTTAATTGCATTATTTGGTTAGCGTCATTCAAGAGAATACCTCAGATGTTTGATTTATGAACTATTATCCTGACAAAAAAATGTGTTGCATTTAAAAAAATAAGTCTTGAAACAACCTAAGTATGTATGAGTATGTAAATGGTAATAATTTTAAAATATATTTTCTTTCAACATTTGTTTTGTTTCAGGAATTTGGTTGAGCCAAGCTATTAAATAAATAGTCAACAGAAGAAATAAGTGCTAAAATTATAACCAGGCTAAATGCCCCAAAAGGACAACTTTTGTTTAATATTTTTTTCCCAAATCTCCTTATTTTTTATGATACAAGATAATCTCATAACAGCAGACATCCTCAAGAATTCCTAAAATTTCCGATATACAGGGTAATTCAGGTTTAATCTGGATAACTTCAGGAATTGATAGAACAGGTTAAAATAATGTTCATTCATGATATAAACTTATTTCCTAAATCGCACCGTTTCGGAGATAGAGGGCGTTGAAGTAGGAACTTTTTTCCCGATTTTCCCTAACTTATGAACCACTCATCCGATTGAAGTGAAATTCGGAACACACACTCCTTATGATCTTACATAAGCTCCTCTAAATTTGAACCACCTACCCCTCTTAGAAGTGTATTTTGTGTGCTACCCCCCTCTAAGATTATTTCAAAACTTTAAAAAAATTGATTAATTTCAATAAAACAGCTGCACTCCACCTTTGCCTCATTAATATCGAAACTTTTTCATATCCCGTGTTTTTTCGATATTTGGCTTTGTTTCTGAGATATTCAATGAAATTTGTGACAGTGTAGCGCCCTAGGCAGGCGCCCCAGCCGATTAAAATTCATTTAACGTTAAACAAAACTCACAGTGAATTATATAAACTGACGTTTGTGAAAATCATTGTTAAAAGTATTATTAAGTTCAAAAGTTATAAGGGAAAAATGGGAAAAAAATTCCTACTTTAATGCCCTCTATCTCTGAAATGGTGCGATTTAAGAAATAAGATTATATCATGAATGAACATTATTTTAACCTGTTCTATCGATTCCTGAAGTTATCCAGATTAAACATGAATCACCCTGTATAGATGTGTCTGTTATTTAGAAATAAGAGTAAATAATAAAAGAATACAGAGTTCATTTTATTTAACATAGTAATATTTAAATAAAGCATATTAAATAATTATCAAAATGCATAAAAAAAAATTAAAACCATGAATTTCCGAATCGGCTCGGAAGTCAGTTTTTTTCAAATAAAATAGTGTATTTTTTTATTGCAACACCGAAAAATGTGAAACTTTTGTTTAAAACATTTTTTTTAAATGCTTTTTTGAGCCCTAAATGACCTTTGAATTTGACCTTGTCCTGATTCCCGTGAAAGGCTACTTCCGGTCAAAACCGGAGTTGAAATCGTCTCTAATCGATGGGGCAAGGTTCATTTACTATTAATGTAATGTACTTTTACAAAAAAGAATCATTGGAGAAAAAATCAACTTTCAGGGATCGTAGGTACAAAATGAAGGATTTTGCTGGTTCGTTTAAACAGTTGTAAGAACATTTGTTGTAACTCTTCTTAACCAATATTATTATATACTTACCAAACCATTAGGTAAAGTTTGCTGGTGCAAATTAAGATATTGGAAATGCTGATTGTAACCTGTAGAGGGAAATACTCTCATACGCGGTGCCAAGGTAAACAAAAAACTACTATCGTCTCCAAAAAATTTCGGCCCTAGCTCCCAATTTGCTGGGGCAAAGCCTCCAAACATGTAACCATTTCGATCCTCTACGATTAACACAGAAGGTCCTTGATTAACTATTCTGCCTAAAATGAAACATAGAAATATAAATTATAACATAATGAATGTAAAAATGAAAAACTAACCAATTAATGTCGAAAAAGATTCCCCATGAATTTCAGAGCTGAAGAGAAATCTCCATTCTAACTGGTACTGCTGAGGGAGGTTGGCATTTATAAATACTATCTGATTAAGATCTAAAATACTAGGATAGGACGGAATCAGATCCAGTCCTCGACAAAACGGTACCAAACTTCTGTCTTTTTCTTTTTCAGTTGTGGTTACTTGTTCTTCACTTTGAATTGGCCCTAAAAATATAATTGAAAAATAATTATAATACTCTATCGTTCTGTATATAAAGTCAATAAAATAAAGTGATATGAAATATCACTATATTATAATACAGGGTCGTAGTCAGGTAGAAATTTCAGGCGATTTTTCTCAGTCCAGTCGAAATATTTGAAGTGAACAGTGTAACAAAAGCTGGGATGCGTAATTATTTATTTATTATAGTTCTCGGAACGGATGGGCCAAGTAAAATATTTTCGTCAACACAAATTATCGAAAGTTGAGGGCTTTCAAGTAGGTAGCGTCGTCCTTCGGAGAAATTTACTAATATTTTTAACAAATTCACTTAGAGTCGGGGCCATGTGACAGTCATCTGTTGCGTCTGGGAGGCGCCAGCGTAGAAACCCATATTTTTTAATAACGCGCGAAACCACGAGAAGAGCGTAGAGGTTCTAAATCCAAAGTAGAATGAAATTAAATTGTGAAATAGATAATGGTTGGAAAAGAAAAATATATGATAAGCTGTTTTTTTGACGGATTTTCCACGCTATAAGAGTAGATTAAATGAGATCGACTAATCCGTCCCGTATTTGCTACACGGAGTCGCTAGAGGGAGGCTAGGGTTACTTGTAAGTTTAGTATCAGAGTTCTTATATAAATGTAAGTCTAGTCAATTAGGTAATTATTAACCCAGTATAGTTATACCAAGCGTCCCGATATTCAGGTCCCCGCCAATAAGATAAGAACAGAAACTTCTGGACCCAAGAAATGGGCGTGTCGAAGCAAGGTGGAATTCAGGAAAGATCTCGAGAAAGTCAGTTCTTCCTTGGGTTTCACATTGAGCAGTCTAATTAACTTTAGAGTCTCGGGCTGATTAATTAAATTTAATAATGGATAAGGTTTTTCCAAATTTTGCTATGAAGCGCGCATTCCCTGAATCTCGGTACGCTGTCGCGTGTCAATGAATTAATTAATAATGTTGTTCGAGCCGTTGTGTTGTTATTTTGTTTGTTTGTTTATTGTTATTAAAACCCTTCCTGGAAGTTAAGCAATGAATGGTAAGTGTAAGAAATTCATTCTCTGGGCATACAACATTTCTAAGTTCCCACATATTAATTAAGGTATCATGATAATTATAAACTCTCTTTCGAGAATTAAATAGTAAACTCTTTTGAAATCCAGACTCGTTATGATACTGGTCATAATAGATAATTAATTAAAGGTAGATAATTGAATCCTCTAGTATCAAAACCCCTTAAATCCACTTTAGTGAAATTTGCATAAATGAAGAAAAACTGTTTAACCAACTTCTGATAACGACNAGAAATGGGCGTGTCGAAGCAAGGTGGAATTCAGGAAAGATCTCGAGAAAGTCAGTTCTTCCTTGGGTTTCACATTGAGCAGTCTAATTAACTTTAGAGTCTCGGGCTGATTAATTAAATTTAATAATGGATAAAGTTTTTCCAAATTTTGCTATGAAGCTCGCATTCCCTGAATCTCGGTACGCTGTCGCGTGTCAATGAATTAATTAATAATGTTGTTCGAGCCGTTGTGTTGTTATTTTGTTTGTTTTGTTTATTGTTATTAAAACCCTTCCTGGAAGTTAAGCAATGAATGGTAAGTGTAAGAAATTCATTCTCTGGACATACAACATTTCTAAGTTCCCACATATTAATTAAAGTATCATGATAATTATAAACTCCCTTTCGAGAATTAAATAGTAAACTCTTTTGAAATCCAGACTCGTTATGATACTGGTCATAATAGATAATTAATTAAAGGTAGATAATTAAAGAAATAACCCCTCAGGTTATAACAGTGACGGATTTGAGATTACAGATCTCTATTTCCTCTTTGTTTGTTATCAAATTTCTATACACAGCGCATAAACTATAATATACATATGTGTATGTGTTTCTGTGTAAAATGTCAAACCCAAACTAAACAACCGTTCTTTCAGCGCAAATACACAACCGTTAGCAAATAGACCACAACCGTGCCTGCATAATAAAAATAGTTTACAATCAAAATTTACTGCAGAAACAAAACCAAATTGATCCTAATATATAATAACATTTTTTAAATTAATATTTGAAAAATATTGTGTCTATATGTGTATCTTACCAGGTTTCTCATTTGTCACTGCTCCTTTTTCTTTATGGGATATATTAAAAAGGTACATGGAGACAAATGTAAGAAGTTGTCCGAGAATAGTGGCACCCTGAAGCCACACTTCTAAAGCCCTTCTCGTAATACTTTCTCCTGTGGCCAGTTCATGAGTCAAGCTTTCAGCAAACCGTTGGATATTCTGTGCGGATGTAAAGCAACCTCGAGAGAACCAACTTCTAAATTGTTTAGTATTGCTCAACTTTTGAATTTTCATGTATGATGCAACTATACTTTCTACGTACTAGAAAAACCAAATATGCTAGTTTATGTTTAATAAGTTTAGTTTCATTAAAAATATTTGAGTGAGTTAGTTGTGCTTTTTAGATACAAGATATTTTATTACCTAATAATGTGAAACTTATGTGTAATAATTTCACTATATTTACAATGGACCTTACTATCGCTCTTATATTTACTAGATTCGGCATGAGCAAAGTTTGTTTTGCAAACGCAGGATGTTTAAAAGCATTTGGCTCCGTTTGGCTGAACCTTTGAGAATATGTGATGTTTACCAACGAAGAGAGCCGAAGTGTATTCGGAGGAACCAGAACTACAGAGCCCATTGCGCAAAATGAATATGTGTATAAATACATTGTACAGGGTGTTTGGTAAGTCGATGCATTCCTTGCGGGAGGTACAAGTGATTTGTGATATATTTCCTTAATATCCCATATTCTGAAAAGGCTTACTTTCCGATCTGCAGGGTGTTTTAATAAAAAAACGCAAATTTATAAATATTGCGGAAACCGCTCAGGCTATTTTAATGAAATTTTACAAGCTTTCACAGTAAACAACAATACATGTTTTACGAAAAAAAAATAATGTTTTCAGTTTCACCAGTGGCGTGCGCACAGGCGCGTCTTTAGATATTTTTAAAGAAAGAAAATGATACGCCACTGATTTTTCTTAAAATAAAAATTATTTTTCAATTCCTTGTTCAATTTGGAAGAGAAAAGGTATCTCGACTATTTTTCTTATGACGCACCATTTTCGAGTAAAAAAATTAAAATTGATTTATTGCATGGCGGTTTCAATAATTTGAAAAATAGCAGAAATTATACACTCAGCTTTTTTTTGTACCAATTTTATTATAAAAAATTATTACTCCTCGCAGTTAACATCAGTCTAAAAAAATGTTATCAGTTTTAGATTCACTATTCACTATCTAAACAGAAATTAACAAGTTGGCTATGCACTCGTTTTTTGCGGGCATGTGCGTGCATTATAAGGGGACTTCATTTTTAGCAAGATCTTAAGTAATTACTAAAATTAGAAAAGGTAATACTAATTTTTTTATAATAATAATATAGTTTATTTACCTATATAAACAATACAATACATTATACATATAAAGGAAATAAGCAGTAAATAAACATAATCCCCTTAAGCAAGCTTGTCTGGGGTGTAGGTACATATTTAAAATATAGTAATAAAAAGAAATATATACATAAACATTCAATAAAATTATTCAACAAACAAACAACATGTAACACATAGTATGAGGTTTAAGTAGATACAAAATAAAATAACAGGAAAGTGTAAAGGACTATTAAAAAGTACATTTCAGTATACAATATGTACGTATATAACGTCGTGTATGATGAACCAATAATAACAAAACAATTAAAATGCAATATTTGCTTGTTACTGGATAATGTTATTAATCAGGTTACTTATTACATATCGCGGTATGCCCAGCAAATAAGTTTTCAATTTTATTTTAAATAAATTTAGTGAAGTGACATTCATTATGGCGTTGGGTACACTATTCACCAATTTCGGACCAAGATAAAGGTTTGACCTTTGACCAATAGTTTTTTTCATTTTAGGTGGTAAGTAGTAGTTTACAAGTCTAGTATTGTATTCATGATTTAGTGTTGGTATTAATTGTCTTTTTTTGTATTGACGTATATTTGAAGTCATATAGTATAATTGCCTTATATCCAAAACTTTGGCTTCTTGATAAATTAAGTCCGAGGAGTATAACATAGACTTACCTAATATTATTTTTAAAATTTTTTTCTGTGTTATCTCTAGATTTCAAAGATGCACGTCATATGCTCCTCCCCACCCAATAATACCATAAGTTATGTGGCTTTCAACTAAGGTATGATAAACAGTTTTTAGGTCGTTTTGAGTAAGTATATTCTTTAAATATTTTATTCTATCTGATGTTCTTTTTCTTCAGTGCTTAAGAGTATACTAGAAAATGAGGGTAATAATTTATTTTCACAAGCGAACGGCAAGTACCAATTATAGGTATTAGTAATTTTTTTCATTTCCTAATCAGTTGTACTCATTTAATAATAAATATTAGTTAATCCAATTTTAAATTACAAATAACATAACCTAATGTGAACTGCGGGTAGTAATAACGTTATATTAAGTTGTATTAAAATTGGTACAAAAAAAAACTAAGTGCATAATTTCAAATTAATATTGAAACCGGATTATGCCATGCAATAAATCGATTTTAATTTTTTTACTGGAAAACGGTGCGTCATAAGAAAAACAGTCGAAATACCTTTTCTCTTCCAAATTGAACAAGGAATTGAAAAATAATTTTTATTTTAAGATAAATCAATGACGTATTATTTTTTTCTTTAAAAATATCCAGAAACGTGCCTGTGTGCATGCGACTGGTGCACTATATTTTGATCATAAAACATGTATTGTTAACTGTCAAAGCCTGTAAAATTTCATTAAAATATTCTGAGCGGTTTCCGCAATATTTATAAATTTATATTTTTTTATTAAAACTTTAACATCCTGTAGATCGGAAACTAAGCCGTTTTGGAATATGGCATATTAAGGAAATATATCACAAATCACTTGTACAATAACCTCCTGCAAGGAATGCATCAACTTACCAAACACCATGTATAGTTAATAAAACGCTAATTTGATTTTTATTACTTTAGTTCTCACAGGTTTATAAAGTATTATTTAATAAATGTAAGTACACATAATCCTTCCAGCACCTGCATTTGAATTTAGATTCATTCATACTTTTTCTGAGTACCTTCTCTTCACTGCCCCGCAGAGCTCTAAGTCAGTATTCTCAACATAACAAACGCTGTGCTTTCAAATAGGCGATGCTGAATCAAGTACATATAAGACCTTCTAATTTCATATTTCAATTTCTTTCCATTTAGTAACCTACCTCTTTAACTAATATGTATGGTATATCATTACTCTCACTGTCTGATTTTCCTAATGATATTAAAAGAACTTTCATCTTTTCATCCACTGTTCCTCTAGTACAAAAAACAAATAATTCAGCAAACCTTTCCAAGTCCACTGTACTTTGTCTCTGATCTCCAATACCAAATAGATAATTATTCAGATATTGTAGAAGTCTTGGATCCATCTGATTACCCCATAATTTCTACAATTATTGTGCATTATATTTACTACATTTCTTTATATACAGATAATTGAAAATAGAAATTCAGGCAATTTTAAAGATCTTTCTGATTTCTTTTTGAAATGAATACAAATGGACGAGTGCTATGGTAGTGGATTTTTAATAGAACTAATATCAAATATAAAAAAGGTGTACTTAGAATTGTTTGATAAATGAATAGTAGCCAAAGATGAATATTGTTTAAATAATTTTCATCACTATAAAATAATAATTATTTATTATATACGGTGTTAACGAAATAAGTACTCAAAATTTGAGGGTGTAAACATGTCGAAATATGATGAAAATCTTAGTTCCAATCTGAGAAATTTGAATGGTGATTCGTGAGGATTCCTCTGTGTCTAAACTAGTAGCCCTATAATAATTTAGCTTCTATGTTAATTACAGTACCTAAATTCAAATTTCTCAGACTAGAATTTTGAGTAGGTAATCTAATCAGTAATTGACATATACTTGACACCTCTGTTAAGTGTCACAAGTAGTAATTTTCTCATGGCATTTGATACATTTTTCTGCAGCAGGAATTTTTGAATAAACGATTGAAATGGATTTTACTAGAAAACGGCTCATGCTATTAAAATCTAAGAATACCTTTTTTATGCAAAATATGATAAATTTTCATATTTTCGGTTCAGGAACTAGAAAAAATGAGTACAAAAAAAATTGTAAAATTTGCCCCGTGGTCCCGCATTTTCTTACGTCTATGTAGCAAATTTTGATTTGTATATTATACCGATTATAAGCATACAAATAGTAATACAACCAAACATTTCGTGATTTAATGTTAAACTGTTTCCTAAGTTACCCCTTCAAGAGGCCGTATCTCGCTTAGGGGCCGCCACAGACAAAAACTCTACTAAGGTTTTTATCATATCTCAACATGTTTTACATACTCTGAAATCTGTAGTACTTATTTCGTTAATACCTTGTCTTGTATATTATTTCTCTCTTTTATAACTCATGATTTCTAAATCATAAATAATAAAATGATTGTGGTAACTGATTCTAGTAATCTTTGTGAATCTTATAACTGTGTCAGTCCTCAATAATTTTATATATTTTATATTATTTTATATATGTACTGTTTACTTACGGTAAGTTCTTCTTCTTTAATCCTTTCCGAATTCTTACTTGCCAGTTTAAAAGAATTGCTAACAATCAGTTGTTCATCTTTAGACAAAAATGAGCATTTGGCTGCTAATTTTTTACTGCTGTTTGCACCCATGACGATGGATAATGAATTGATAAGATTTTTATTTTATTAAACAATCATACCTGCAAATATTTAATATGTAAATTTAAATCAATAACAGAGGTTATCTATTTGTGTCCAAATAGTTACCTTAAACATAAATCAGTAAAATCTTACTGATGATTAATCGTAGTGGATTAAGAGGATATATTTGTAGTAAAATTTTTCGTATATGAGTAACTTATTGAGAACAATCAAGATAAATTCTGAATTAAATTCAGACTGACACGAGATATGATATTTGATTTGATGACATTTCTATATTTCTGACAGTTGACGTTGACAGTCCAGCTGATAAAAGCAACCCGTAAATCGCTAACCTGTAATTGAAGTTGTCAACATGTCAACAACAAAAAAAGCCAATTGTGTTTAGAGAAATAAAAATGTAGATTTTTTACAAAATTGGAAGATTAAAAGATAACGGAATGTGTGTTAAATATTTCGCAATTTATTTAAGAAATATTTATTTAGGAAATAGGTAATGAAGATTCTATAAAATTCGGCATGAAATTTTATGGTGTATGTATGGGCTTTTCTTCGAAATTGACCTTAGGATAACAATTTCCTACAATTATATAATGGTTTGAGGGCTTTAAAAATTAATTTTCCTTCTGGTTACTACTACTACATATATGTAAGTATTTCTTTTTATTTTGACCACTGTATTTTTTAATCTTGAAATCATGCCTTTTGACAACTGAACTCTTGTCATGTTACTGAATTTAACTTAAAATGTAATATTTGATAATTGATGGTTGAATGAAAAATGACACTTTTGTTTTTAATCATCGATATCTCAACAAAATATTGCACATTAAATATAAAAGCGGTTTTGAACAATGGAATAAATTGTCTACAAGGACCTATCATGGTAGAAATTTTTTTTCCATCCTCGACATTGCAAAAAGTGCAAAAACTACTTTTTACAGTTTTCTAGAAAATCTACCGCTAATTGACAAATATTGATGAGACTAATGTTGAGAAAAATTTTTACTGCTCAATGTATCCACAATTCCATAATAACTATTCAAATTGACAAGTTGATCCATCCAACCGTTTTTCTGTTCCCAATGATCAAAATTTTGGAAAGAAAAAAAGGAACACATTTATTACTCCTCAACATTATCAAGATCAAAAGAATTTTTCTCGACTTTTCCCACAATTTTACATTAGATATCCTTTAAATTTAAGAAAACACAAATTAAAATAATTTTTCAAAAAATTTTTTATTCTTTTTTTTTAAAGTTGCTGTCTAGTCGTTTCTTATCATACAATGAGAAAAAACATGTGGCTCCAAGTGGTTGGACCTATTCGTGTGCGTCATTAAAAATAATTATTTGTAAACCTACTATATCACCATTCAGAAAGATCTAAACCTTTATATTCATCTAGGGCTGGAATTATTGCAATTTGTCGCAATAAAAATAGTGCCATACTGAGAGTATTTTGAATTACCCATGTTGTTAGGACAGAGTTGCCATTGACGTCGTGTTTTGGATTTTGATCAAGAAAGAACTAACCGACAGTATAATTTCCTTTCATCGAAATGGGAGAAGACAGTGTGAGGAGACATTACTAGTAAATATAAAAGGATACCATAAATAAAATATATGTATTTACTCAAATATAGATACATTCTTACTACACTATCTTAAGTATGAATATCACAATCGTTACAAATATTACCAATATACATATGTATACTATGTACAACTTTAAAAATATACAACTAATTTTAATTGATTATGTGATCAACTTCACAGCTTTCTTGATCCTCACTGTTTAACTCACTGTACCTGATTGGGTTAATTTGTTGTAGAATGATAATAGTGCTAAAAAAACAGGTTATACCATTATACAGTACGTGCCTAAAGTATGGAATAAATTCAGTAAAAACGAAACAAATTTTTTTGGGAAAAATCCTCGAACAGGTCGATTTTGAATTTAAAAAAACATATTTTAGCCTAAAAGGCGATTTTCAACCGTCATTTGTTTTCGAGTAATGACATCATCGACATTTTTTTTAAATAGCAACCCCCTATTTGTTTTCTTGATTCTGAAAGATCGTTTCATTGTCGACCCGACAATATTAAAATGTTGCCATCTTACATAGGAAAGTTTTCGAGTAAATGACGATTGAATGTTAGAAAACCCAAATCAATTAAAATAAAGCAAAAACATGATCAAATTTAGTTTTTCGAAATGCCTGAAGTGTAAATCTTTACTAAGTGTCACTGTCATACCAACTTTCTAAGTATTGTAAGCGATATAAAAATTATTGTTGAATTTAAAGCGTTATGGCACATTTAACTGTCACACAAAGAATTGAAATTTTAATTCTTATCGGATGCGGGGATAAGACTAGATCGCAGCAGGAAGTTTGCGATTTATTTAATGAAAAACATCCAGATTGCCGTATCAGCCAATCAACAGTCAGTAAGATAGAATTTTTCTCCATGATAACCGAAAAAATAATAAATCATTGTAGTAGTTATATTAATTTTGATAATGTGACTTCACACTGAAAAACTATAGTTGTTTTATGATATTATGGGTATAAGTGCCAATGAAACGCGAATTGTTACGAAGTCTTGGTGGGTCGTAGAGGCGCGTAATGGGCACATTAAATCAATTTTTAGTTTCTTTTCTGGTATTATTCCGACAGCTCATATGCTCCATTTCGCAGATTTTTACAAAATAGCTGGTGCAATAATTAATAGATTTTATGAATTGTTAATAATGCAGGATTGTACTGTTCCATTAGCAAGAGAATTGCGTCTAAGAATTAATGATGTGAACGTAGTTCAAACTCGAGTTGAATTCGAAAATCTCTTTAAAAGAAATGCTATATGGAACCAACTTAATGAAAATCATGCTAGAGAATTTCCTAGATTCAACCTCGACTATTTACATAGGATAACCATTGGTGTTTACCAGGTTAGTTTAGCTACATCTTACATTCAAGATAAGCTTGATATAGAAGGAACAGAAGTATTTCAATTCGACGTACATGTTCTAGAACCAGGTTTTCTACGGATCAGGATTTACTCACGTTTCCGGAATGTAGTGAAACATCAGCTGTGGGTATCTTATGCTACTGAACCAGACGAAAATGAAGAGCCCATTCTCGGATATTATTGCACTTGTAAAACTAATAGGTTGTTGTGCTCACGTAGCCAGCGTGTTGTGGTATTTGGGTTTTCCTCGATATCAACAAAATATACATTACCCCAGTGACGCAATATTAAACTATATTAATGATAGTCTCAACAGATATAATAATATAGAAATTGATGATATTGCATTCATGAAAATAAAATACATGCATCTAGACGTACTAAGATTAGAGAGTAAGGGGCTCTCGGTAAAAAAGTCACCCTAAAGAGGCGTTGGCCCGATTTTACAACCTCCATGTGGTACACCTTGGGTAATGCAAGCGCAAACAACAAAAAATATCAAATAAAATTTTTACCCCTTCGAATACAGAGTTATTGCTCTAAAGTCAACGTAACTCGAAAATTATTGACTTTCGGTTATTGTGGCAATGGAGACTTTTGATCGACAGGTTAAGAGCTGTAACATATAAAAATTTCAGCCAATTTAACTGAAACCACTTTTACATAAGAAAAGTGCGGGGTCCTTTAGAGAAACTGGCAATGTTGTAGATATTCCAAAACCTGGACGTCCAAGCATTAGTGAAGATCACATTTCAGCAAGACAGTGCACCTCCACACTATGCGTGCCCTGTTCGAGATTTTCTGGATAATTGTTTTCCTAGGAGGTGGATCGGCAGACGAGGACCGATAGAATGGCCCGCGAGATACCCAGATTTACACCCCTGTACTATTTCTTATGGGGCTACTTAAAGTCCAAAGCGTATGTTAATAGACCATATAATTTAGAAGAACTCTAAAATTGTATTATACAGGGTAGCCCATCGAAAACGTACCGCAAGGCATTACAGGGTAGTAATGAACTTTTCGGCAAAATCCAAAAACAGGTAAAGTTTGCTTCTGAGGGGGACAACTTTTTTAATGAATAAAATTTACGTTTTCTAACATTCAATCGTCATTTACTCGAAAACTTTCCTATGCAAGATGGTAAAATTTTAATACTGTCGGATCGACAATGAAACGACCTTTCAGAATCAAGAAAAAAATAGGGGGTTGCTATTTAAAAAAAATGTCGATGAGGTCATTACTCGAAAACAAATGACGGTTGAAATTTGCCTTTTATGCTAAAATATGTATTTTTTAAATTAAAAATCGACCTGTTCGAGGATTTTTCCCAAAAAAAATTTCTTTTCGTTTCTACTGAATTTATTCCATACTTTAGGCACATATTGTATAATTAAAAGTTTGTGTTTATTGTCTAAAGTTACTTACACTGTTAGAATCATATTGACTGCAAACAGTCCTGCTGATAAATAATTAAAGAAAGCAGGATCACTGTTTATAGTACCATTGTAAATCGCAGTGTATAAAGGAGAAGCTCCCAAGCCAATTAAAAATTCACTAGCCATTATCATGGAGAAAATCTTCCCAATTTCATCGTCAGGAATTAATTTTGATATGAGTGACCTTGACATTGGACTTATTACCCCACCAAGACAACGTACGCCGCCAGCTAAAATATTCGGGACAATGAGAAATTAATATACTATCTATGACCTAATGAATACATTATTTGATAATTAATTTTTTTAACAGTCGAATAACCTTATTTTTTTACCTAAGAATGCCTTGTTTCGTTTTTTTTGCCACATTTTTTATAGCTAGAAATCTTCAGAAAACCCAAATTTTTTTTTAAAACATCACACTATTTACTGTAAGAAAAGTATAGCACATGTCGCTATAGTTTCTGAGAACAACTTTGATTTTCTAGTTATAGACAGCTAAGTATTTAAGGGCATTCCAATATAATTAAACTTCATTTTTTCATACAATTTGTAATTAAATTAATTATTTATTAAGGTTTAGAGGACCCCTTATGGGAAACTGGTCCTGGTCGAATGGTACGAAACTTTGCCGAATGATAGTCCTCAATGTGTCAATCAACAAAGTCCATGGGACCTAGCTCTGAAGCTACATTTTGTTTTTTTGCCATATTTCTTATAGCTAGAAATTTTGAGAAAACCCAAATCTTTTTTAAAACATCACACTATTTACTGTAAGAAAAGTATAGCACATGTCGCTATAATTTCTGAGAACAACTTTAATTTTCTAGTTATAGACAGCCAAGTATTTAGGGGCATTAAACTTCATCTATTCATACAATTTGTAATTAAATTAATTATTTATTATGATTTAAAGGACCCCTTAATAGAAAACTGTTCCCGGTCGAATGGTACGAAACTTTGCCAAATGATAGTCCTCAATGTGTCGATCAAAAAAGTCCATGGGACCTATACTACGTCTGAAAAACTACAGTTCTGAAGCTACAGCCTTTTGAAGTTATCGAATCCACGTGCTCGATGACCATCAAGTCCAATGATTTACGGGAGAGTAAAAGCAAATATTTCTTTATAAAGTGACCAAACTGGCTATTTCTTGATGTATTTTCGTGTGCTGAATGCGAATCCGTGGTCAAAATAGCTGTATCATCCTTAAGTCTTCAAAAAATTGGTAAATCACCTACTGAAGAACAGCGACACCGACACGTACTGCTTGAACGACATCTTATGGTTTTACGCATGCTGAGCACTTATCCGTCATTAGCATATCTGCAGCATTCCTGAGTTTTCAGAAAATAGCTGAAGCACCTTTAGAAAACTTGACTTGATGGTCATCGAGCATGTGGATTCGATAACTTCAGAAGGCTGTAGCTTCAGAACAGTAGTTTTTCAGACCTAGGTCGCATGGACTTTTTTTATTGACACATTGAGGACTATCATTCGGCAAAGTTTCGTACCATTCGACCAGGACCGGTTTTCCATAAGGACAGTTGCGGGGTTCTTTACTTCTGTGCAAAAGTGATATAATTATAGATATAATCTTCTGAATGTAGCACCTCAAAACTACATTTTTGCAGAACTATATCTTGGTAAATGTAGACTTTTAAATATGTAAGTTGGTCTAAATTGTAAAAACTACTTATAGTAGGATCATATTCGATGCAAAGTAATAAATCATTGGCTGTCAAAGGATTCAGTGCAATACTGTTTTAAGAGGTTTAGAAATTGAATAATTTCTTTATGCATTATGAAGCGATAAGGGGATTAGTTCACGTCTGGCACTCCTGTTCCTACAAAAATTCCTTTATTCTCATAAACTATTTATTTTAAATTCAATCTGTTTTTTAAATTCCACATATGTACATTATATCTCTGTACGCGCCACTGTTGTTTACTTATTTTTTGGAGGCGATCTCTGATTTACGACCAAGCTCGACAGGTTAGTATTTGACGTATAACTGACCATTTTACTCGATACACCTGGGCGACTACAGCTACTATCAGAACACAACGCGTATGGTGCGGTATTTCAGATTTTACATTCAATTTCATATTAAATTTGAAATGGTTCATCTTTCATGTCCTAAAAATGATAACACGATTTTCCTTTGATAAAAGATAATTTTTTGCTCTACTTTGCATCAAATACGATCCTACTATAATTTAATCTCATTTGGCAAAGAGGTGAAATTTCATTATACTAAAGTATTCCCAAATGCTCCACTGTGCATAAATATAGTTACCCATTTTTACAGTAAAAAAACAAATATATATTTTTTACAGTAAATAAAGCAGTATTTCAGAAATCATTTACATTTTTTCAAAATTTCTACTAATTTGTTTCAGGTGGTTTTTTAAAAATCTCAAGTTTTACAAAAAAATAATCTTGTATTCATATTCGGCTACCTCAAAAGCCCTCTATATCAAATTTCACAAATATATAGTAATGAAGTTATAGCAACTATGAAAATAAAAAAAAACTTGTTAACTTTTCTTAGGCTTTTTTTGAAAAATCGCCAGTTTTATAAACTTACTTTTAAATTTCTTTAATATTCTTTAAAAGCAAGCTTTCAGACATAATTCTCTATCATATCAAACTGCTTTGAATAAAACAGTGCTTAATTGGTTTAATATAACTAGTATCACAGGAAATTACTTAATTAATTTTTTTTACCCAAATCATCGTCATTTCAATAGATAGAGATATTTCAAGAGATAAAGAAATTTAACAAAAAATTAAGTATTATAATTAAACGAAACTACATTAATATAATAAACAAGTCACAACAACTGTTCAAAATTGCCACCATTCTCATCAATACATAATTGAAACGTTTTTCTAACTTCGGGATCAGTTGTGTGTAATAAAATGTTTCAGCTAAGATTTCGATTTCTGTTTGATAAATTATATTTTTTAGCTGTCCACCTTATTAGTCCATTGATGCCTATCCATTGCCTTTGAAACTATTCGTAGAAAAACTTTTGCAGATCCCTTTTGTACCCTCTGTCTTGTATGAATGTAGATATGTATGTTGTTGGAAAACTAAAGAAACTTCTTCCAAAAATACATTCGGTTGGAATTGTAAGTATTTCTGACCATCAACTTTTCCTCTTATAAATAGAGTCCAATTAATATGCCATTAAAAATGCCACCACACATTTATAGAGAACGTAATTTGGAAATATCTGGCTTTGATCCATCTAGGGTTAGTGTCATGCCAGAAATGGATATTATGTTCAAAATGTAATTTTTTGTAAATTGACTTGTTAGTCCATAAAATGTTATCTAAAAACTGGTTGTTTTCTTGAAACATTGTTTGCATTTCTGCAATTAAATTTAGTTTTCGTAGCATATCACCAAGATATAAATTATGTAAACCAAGTGCTTTGTAAAGATGACACTTAATTTCTAGATCTTATGGAGAAATGTTCATACTGAAATATGTGGATTGGTTCCAGCCTTAGCTAATACCACAGCAGTGTTTATATCATTTATGGTGATGCTTCTTTTTGTTAATAGAACCACAATGAAGCAAATTTGTCAATAAAAGCAAAAGAAAATGACCGGGATATTTTTCTGCTTCTCTGGAATTTCTACGTCATTCATCTAATATTAGCTTTGTTCGTACAGCAATCAGAAACTATCAGCAACTGTATGACACATGCGTGATAATCCGTGACTCCTGACTAAAAATTTGATGTTCGCAGAACAAAACTTATGAGTTGTGGATTGGTTTCCAACCATCAAAATAATCCGCTGACTCCCAACAAATTTTCAGTTTCGGACATGCGCACAATGCGCAGTCTTGAACTAGCACTGTTCTATGCTGTCAAGTACAAGAGAATAACATAATTAATCATTTTAATACGTTTAATTATAATATAAAACCGAAGTGACAAATAAACAGACGATGAATCTGTTCAAAATAAGTCGTCAACATAAATTTGAAATAAATAAATAATTATAGGTTATAGCCATTCAGTCACGATTCACTCCAGCATTTTTAATCTGTTCGCAGAGCACAAAATTTGAAATGGGTTAGAATTCAGTTTGATGCCGCACATGCGCAGTGAAAAATTGACAATTGGCTGGAAATTGCATTCTGCGAACAAACCTATTAAAATTACATGGAAGTATCTCTTCATTCGTGTACTGGATTATACTGAATAAATGTCAGAGTTGAAAGTGTTGACTTGGTGTTATGGTATATAATAGCCGTACTTCATTTCAATAAAAAAAATTATTCAGATCGAAATATCTAGCAGTTTTTCGAAAATTGTTTATACCTATCACAAAGCTTGTAATTTATAAATCATATTTGTCACTTCTTGAAACTCTGATCTATGCCTGCATTGAAAGAAACGTGATTTGTACTCACAATTTAAGAACTTTTTTCAGATTTAATTTATTTTTCCATTTTTGAGATATTCGGAAGGAGAATTTTAAACGAGGCACACTGAATATGGATTTTTTAAGCTATACAGGGTGTTTTCATTTTTAGTAGCACAACTTTGATAAGAATTCTTGAATATATCTCTGTCACTATTACAGACAGATTTATTAAATTATTTATCAGAAAGAATTCTATTAAAATTATTTTTATTTTTATTTATTTATTTATTTATTTAAATACACATCCAACAGGCGATGCCCAATAATAGGATATGTTAAGTCTAGTAATAAAATATAAAAAAAGTTAAAAGAGAGAAAAATTAACTGAAAAAATAGAGAAAAAAAAATAGTACAAACTTACAAATAACACAGATATAAAGAACAAAATAAAAGGCAAACAAACTATAAGAGACAGATATGATTACATAAGTAAAGCATTTTTTATATCATTAGGCATACAACAAAAAACATCGACATTATTTTCTATCTTACTGTACTTCGAAACAATATGATACAATGGTGATGCTACTAGGATGATACTATGTGCTGCGGGTAGACTAAAAACATTATTACTTCTAGCTGATAGACGCGGTACTTTGATATGAATATTACTTAAAACACCTGGACAGTCCAAAATGTTGTGTAGAACTTTATATAAAAACATTACTTGAAAAACAGATCTTCTTTTAGCAAGAACATGAATACTGAAACACTTAAGTAATAGATCATGCGGAAAACCCTGAGGGGGATATATACCATCCAATAAGTACACAGCTGATTTCATAAACCTACGCTGTACTCTTTCCAAAGTTGCAATTTGATTAGCGTAAATTGGGTTCCAGACTATTGATACATATACTAATTTAGAACGAATAAAAGTAGTGTAGATTAATCGTAGTGTAGAAATACTGATAAAGCCTTTGGAATTCCTTATCATGAACCCCATATTCTTGAAAGCAATTATTTTATAATTATTTTGATAAATTGAATAAAATGTATAGAAATGTGCTGTAAAGACATAATTTACCTGTATATAGATACCAATCGGCTTTACCAAATCCTTGAAGTAAAGAACCTGCTGTTGTAGAAATAAGACCGACAAGTATTAAGGCTGCTTCCTTAATGTTACATAATTTATGCAAAATATACGTTCCTCCCATCGTTCCTATAATCCAAACTACACTAGTTGCACTGTTAAATAACGTAAATTTAGTCAATGTCCAGTCAAACTTTTCTCTCAAGTAAAGGAACATAATACTACCATCTCCATTCATAATAAAAATATGAATTGTTAGAATTAACAGATTTAATAAGATGATCGATCGGATGAAATATTCACGGCGTTTAAATGTTGTTTTCACCATGTCCCCTAAGTTCGATATATCAAAAAATCCTCTAATTTTCCCCTAAAATATAAACATATAATTATTTATTTATGTTTATTCAATTATTAGTTAAATATTGCAGATATGCGAACCAGAGAAATTAATTTCATTTGCTATCGAATATCACTACTACCTAATTGAATTAATTCAAATATTAGAATTTACAAAAAAATTCATCTGATGGTGTTTTTCTCCGTGTAAAATTGTAAGAAGTTGTATGAATTTTTTAATATTTATTTTCGATGCTTATTATTCCGGGCAGTGGTGGCTGATAGTTTAGAAAAAATTGTTGCCATGTACACATAACTAAAGTAGAAATTTATTATCTAATTTAGCATAATCTTTTAATAAAAAATAGAAGTCTGTATATTCTCATTTTGTAAAACAGTAAAATATGAAATACGGCTTAATTTCATTAATAGATATGGCTGGCCAATTCCTAGTTTAGAGAAGGGATAGGTCCGACATATCTTCAGCCGTACTTAAACAGCAAGTCACATACTTATCCGTATACTGCCATCATTATCATAAGTCTGTGTAATAAACTAATCATAACCCACTTTTATTTTGAAATCCTATCAGGTATCAAATAGTATTTCCAAGAGTACATAAAAAAAATTTTTCCTTAATATTAAAGTATATTTGAATTGTTGTAAACTGTAAATATTTCTAATGGACCCTGTCCCCTGAAATGAGCAATGCATTGATTCATAGAATAAAATAACAGTAAATTATATTTTATGATCGTAATGTACTGGTACACAGCTAGATTCTAATTTGAATATATCTTTTTCTTTTGCTTAACTGTAAATGCAATTATTAAACTAATTTAACAGATTTGTTTTAAAACTAAACAGAATTCTATTTGAAACTTTAATTGTGAATCATGTTGAATATGATATTAGAACTATAGAATTTGACTGAAATGAAACTGGGAATCATTTTAATTATATATTTTTTTTCTTAGTATTAATATAGTGTGAGGCATCTTTCTCTTAAATTCATTAAATAAAAAGATACTACAGAAATTTCCAGCGCCTAGCAAACTGTTGACTTTTGACTTTACCCCGGATCGGCTTGCCATATCTATCCCCACTCCTATTTGTTCTTTACAATCTACATTCTAATAGCACTGTATTGTTGGACACATACTAATTTAATTTTAACAAGATAAATTTAAAATAAATGCATATAAATAAGGAAATTTTACCTCGTGTAATTTCTTGAATAAATCTATTATTATGATAATTTCAAGAACTGCTATAGTTTAAAATATGTAATCGTCTATAAGATTATAGATAGATTCCAAGGATTAAAATTGAAACTGATATGGTGCCTAATTATTAAAAACATTTTCATACTTATTAAAAAACTTTAATTAGAAGCAGAAAATAATGAAATATTATATTGACCCTCTCGACCCAATATCACTAAGAGCCGCCACTGATTCCCGGATATGCAACATGTAATGTGTATACCATACAGAGCATATAAAAAAAAATTATCGATTAATGAAGTATTATAAATGGACAGAAAATAAAATATAAATAAATTAAAAGTATCTGCACTTGTAATCAACGATAAATAATCAAAATATTCACAATTCAATCAACTGTATTATTATTTTCGTGGTAAAGGGAAAAACTTGCATTATTATTTATTACTGAGAATGTCATCGGAACTTCAAATGAAACAAATAATTTTTCACTTGGCAAGTAATTATTATTGTAAAGAGTGGACACACCTGAGTTTCTGGATTTTGTACAGATTCAGGGATGAAGAAAATTGTATAAAGAAGACCTAAACCACATATTCCTGTTGAAATAGTAAACACCCACACATAATTTGTTGCATAGAATAGGTAAGAACCTGAGATATTTCCTACTAAAATTCCTCCTGCTAGAACCGCTTCAAAAACTGCCATTCTAAAAATGTATATACACCTTTTCATAATAAAAAATGAAGATGATGATGATGATGATAATGAAAATAATTTTGACGTTCTCACATGTACAATGTTTTTTTAATAGTCAATATGAATATTATTACAAGGAAAATTTTTTTGAGATAAAAAATTTCAAAAAAAGATTAAACTTAATATCCTCCACTTAGATTTTTTACCCGATTCCTTTATTGTCTTTAGAAAATTTATGATATAGATAAGTTATCTCACGTGGTGTTATTTCACAAATTGGGATTTACTAATTATTATTAGATATATGACATACCTTATACCTCTAGTTTCGTTATTAGTTATGTCTGTAATATAAGACAAGATTACAGTAATATATGCTGCTCCACCTCCTGTAACCAAACCTGGTACAGAACAGACTATGGAATACCATGGGGACATGTTTTCAAAAAAGCTGAATATTGACAGCAGTACAAATGAAACTGTAGTGCCTAAAAAAATATCAAGCCTTAAATTATGTTGATATTACACAAACTTTTTTTAAGTTCCTTTAATTTGCTTGTAATAGATATCTGATATTTTATTTTTATTTTTCATGTTTTTTTTCAGTGTTTTTTATTAGAAAAATCATTTCATGAAAATAACCCTTGACTGATTTTTTTAGCAGAAGGGCTTTTGATTGATTTTTAAATGTTTTTAATAGGAGGCTAAATATTCAAATTAATAATCAGAGAAAATGAAAATTATTAGTTGTATATTAACATTTAATCATTCTATTATGTGGTTTATATAAAATAAAAATGTAAAAATAAATATTATGTAAGTTTGAATACTGTAAATATATCCATAGTACAGGTATAAAAAACGAAAATGAAAATAATTTATTTATTTATTATGCTTTACTGATCCTTAAGGTATTTTTTATGACATCATTAATGCTATGCGTTGTCTTTTGTTTTCTGAATAATATAAGGTAGGTATATAGTATTATAGAATTTAAGTAATTCTGCAGTTACTCTAAAATAATACTTCTCTTTATTTATTTTCATATTCACTTCTGATTTTGTTAATGATTCATTTTAAAGAACTAATCTTTTTTTATATAAATATTTTTTTCTTACATATCTGTTAATGTGAAATAAAAATGGATAATGTTAAGATTTATATATTTTTGAGATTAAATTTTAACTTGTTTATTATATTTCAATTCTTGATTTCAAATGATTACCTACCTATTAAATTGAGTATTATGACAGGTTTCCTTCCAAATTTATCAGACCAAGGTCCTACAAAGAAACACAATAATACAGAAAACAATGATTCAATTGTGGATCGAACCATATTTACAACAGCTGCATCAGGTTCTACTAGCTTTTCCAGTTTTTCTGTGTCGTTATTGTACACAGTACCCAATAAGGCACATTCTGTTTTGTTATATCCTAAGGATAAGTAACAGGTGCGATATATAATTAAATTAGTATATACAGATCCTGAAACAACAAAAATTATTCTATACTGAAACTCATTTTAATTTAAGTTTAACTCACCTGAGAGCATAAAGCTAAAAAATGACAGGAAAAGAGGCACCTCAACAGTTACACCAAACAGTGCCATATCGACTGTGCTTATGAAAATAGGTAAAAATATTTTACAAATTTAGTTACCTGGAAATATGTTTACATATTCAGTCCACATATGACATAATATGAACTGGTACTGGTACAATAATAATTATAATCAGTAAAAGGTCAGTGAAATTAACATTTCCGCATATTCACTGTGCCAATAATAAGAATTTAAAGTACTACTGAGACGGAGTTTGTATTATTTAATACTGATAACAAACATGAAATAACACAGATGTTACCGTTTTATTTGTTGAATCTACTAACTCTCTTTGTGGAAAGTTGCAACATTCAATGCCAAAAGTGAAGGTCAGCTAACAATAGTAATTGTTTCATAGATAAAATATAAAATTATGCGATTGTAGTTATTATACAATTATTAAAATAAACTTATATGTACCTAACCTACCTATATGTATAATTATAATTTTCATAATAATTAGGTACTTACTAATTGGTTTCTATCAGTTTTACGAGATCCATTTAAATTTTGTCCTTCACTGGAAATTCAAATATATGTAGGTAATTGCCCTGTTATTAGTATTTATGAAACCAAATGCCTACTTTTGAAAGTACCTAAACCTAATCTTTTGATAAACATCTTTAAATTTTTTAAACTTGAAACTACATAATTCCTTCAATGAGATAAAAATTATGTTAGTCATTGTTAGATAATTAATATGAGATTTTAGGTAATAGGTATAAAATACTTGAATAATAATAATACGTTTACGTCAAGTCGAATTAATGTCTAATTATGTCTAAATCATAGATATGGTCTAAATCTGTGGTCGGATTCGACATATTCACATCACAAAATCTAGTACAAAATTCCAAAATAAACAAGTTTAGAACACAAAATAGCTAGGCAAGTTAGCGCAGCTACACATAAGTACATATCAATATTTATCTATTCTATTACTGTCTGTCTCTCTGTCTGTATTACAGATTGTTCATTGTTTCAGGATCGTTTCTGTTTGTAAAGTTTGCGATTGCCTAGGTGATGATTGGGATTAGCGAAATTTACGTCGAAATAAGAAACAAGCGACATATTAATATATTAATAATAGCACTCTATTTGCCTCCACATATTTCTATAGATAAAACTGGATAAAACTGAACTGATACGCGTCATTATTCCATGGCTAGAAATTGGCCTCAATGATTTGGGATCGAGGGGGATTATCCCTCTTTATCCTGCCTCATCTCGTGTAGGCCTGGACAGCCTTCGTAGGTGGGCTCCATCCGTCGTCTACCCCGACCGCAAATGCGGCCGGTGTAGACGCTTTGTGGGACCTCCTTTTGTCCTGGCTGGGCCCCGCCGGCTAGGGCCCTTTCATCTGGCGTTCTTCTTGCTTCACCGGCTCGTCTGTGTAAACCCCGGGGGTGGTGTCATGTTTATGTGTGGTATGGTTGGGTAGGGTAAAGGGTAGTGCGGCTATGCAGTCTGGAATGCGCTTTGCTAAGGTGGGATTTTAACCATTTTCTTCTCTAAGGATTACGTCAGTAAACAGGAACTTACAACAAGGAATTTTAATTACTTTTCAAGTTTTCTTTTAATAATCCGTATTAACTCCAAGTACAAAATCTATTACCTATCTAAAATATCTATTTTCTACTTTTAATGTCATACCACGTAATATTCTAATTCAAATTTCGTATTATTAAAATTACCTACTACGGTACTGTCGGGTAGAAACTAAATATTTTATTTCAATTCGGCTTAATCTGAGAGAGTTAGCACGATTCCGCCTCGCTTGGTTCTCGACCGCCACATCAAAGGCGCCGACACGGACTCTTCCAGCTGTATTAAGCTGTGGTAGGAGTAGGTGTAGATCTCAGACTAATCACAGTATACTAATCAATCAGTAGGGAATCTTAAATGATTTACGAATGAATTCCGTATGGTAATTTTTAAATATCCCCACCCTAGGAAAAGTCGCTAAGAATATGGCGGATCCTTCGAGCATATACTACTAGAACTAGAGGCATGCCATTGCGAAAACTGTGGCTGAGTGTGCGAGAGAAACAGACAGTACATCGTACATCCTGTCTCACTCTAGCACGTCACGATTAGTTGGAAATGAATGCTTCAACCAAACGCGGCGTGCTAGAGTGAGACAGCATATCTGAGATACTGTCTGTCTCTCAGCCACACTTTTCGCATTGGCATGCTACCTCTAGTAGTATAGTAAACATAACCTGTTCTTTTTCCTGGTTTTAATACTTTTAATTATTATACATTAATTTCTGATTAATTATTATAATCCGAGGTAATAAAGAGATTGTTAGCTATGTAGTAGTGTTACACGTAAATTGAGTTTTTTTTTTATTAAGAGAAGTTTACATTTTTTGGTTAAATACAGGTTTAGTTATTTGAATTCCAGCAGAAATAATTTAGATTAGATTATATCGGTCTGAATTTTATAAATTTTGTTCAAAAACTTACGAAAGCGTATTTATTTTCTNTGGAGGAGGGAGACGGAATATCTAGGATCTACGGATTGGGATGTGATTGTCAGGTCGTCGGCGTATAAGTATATGTTGGTGTTGGGGGGATGTGGGATGTCGGAGTTGTAAATGGTGTATAAGTGTGGGGACAGGACGGTGCCCTGGGGGACACCGGCCTCCATGGGACGGGTGGTTCTTTAGAACTAAATTAACTTAATTATTTTCTCGTTATTCAACCTGTTCACATGATTTATGGATTTTAAATAAAGGGTACAAATCTTCGCGAGGATAATACGATATATTTGCTATACATAATAATTATATTTTGCAGAGTTTATACATATATACATTTTTGAACGCGTACACATCTCTACCAAGGTTGGACTATAGCTCTTGGGTACCTGGCATATCTCCGTCAAAAATGAATATAAAAATCTGAAATTTTAGGGGTGTAATATAGATGAGGAGACCTAAGAGCACACGTAATTTCAACTCACCCCTTCCGCCCTAGGGGGTGCGGAGGGGGTGAGGGGTGGTTTTTTTAGACGTACCCTATTTATTTTGCAATTTTCGGATTCTACGCGTAAAACTACATCCGGAAACGCGTTCTTGCCGAATTCGCACAAAAACCAAAATCCACCCTCGTATTGAAGATATCTACTTAGCAAGAAACCATGCAGGGATATTAAATAAAACAAATGAAAATAGTGAAATAAAAATTATAATTAAAATATAAACAAATTTTAGATTCTAATTTCGTAAAACTGTCGAAACACCAAACACCTGACTTCGTGCTTGCCTGCTATACCGGGAGATCATTAACTGAATTTTGTTTTCAGTTCAAGTCGCAGGGTCTCTGCAAACGGCGACGGCTACGAAATCCCAGATTACATTGTCTCTGTTCTGTGATGAATGAACAGTCCTTGGCAGAATTTCCCTTAAGCCTGTATCAGACAATGCAATTATGTTGCAGGGATTTGGTTGCCGCGATAGAATCCATGCAATTTTTCTTAGCAGACTATGCAATTCTGTCGCGGCAACTGAATTGCATGAATTAGAACTTGCTCTATTCCGTGCAATAAAATTGCATGGATTCTATAGTTACTTTTATGAAGATTTGTTTATTACCAACCTATACTCCGCGGTCGAAATTATAAAGAGTGACTAAGACATAATATAAAAACACTATTACCATAATGCGTATAAAATATAAAATGATTTTTATACGGGTCAATATTATTTATCTTTGTGCCGTTCGCTACGCACATCGATAGAATCTATAATCGTCTATAGACTGAGTTACACCATTGTATAAGTAAATATTTACTTATACATACAATGGTTACACTGGACGTCGATCTATATTCTATCTCTGTCTTTTGCACTTGGTAGGGAAAAGGGAAATGCTTTTTTAGTGGGTGTAAACCACAGACCACCTAGACTGGCTTATAGAGCGACTTTGGTGAAAACACTTTGGAGCCTGATTTGGAGCCCAGCGCTCAGTCGTGTCCTAGCATTTGATGTGTACGCATCGCTGTGATTTCGATAATTAGACGTTTTATCATGATCAATTGTATTGTAAAACATTGTATAAATAGAAGTGATCGAGTTGGTGAAGAGAGGCGAAAAGTTTCCTTCTTTAGGTAAGTAAAAAAAAGGAATATATAAAAGGTATATATGTACGCCATTTTTCGGTCACAAGTTTCCAGGGTTAGCTTTATAATTTTGTTCGACCACATAGTGTAGTGATTAACGTGATATTGTTATTATAAAATAATGAATGAATTACTGTAAAATATTTTTAGTAATTATTTACTTTATG